TGGGATAAGAGAGTAGGGAGATGGTAGAGAGGGGGGCAAATTGGGAAAGGGGGTAATCAGAAGCAAATACTTCTGAGGAGGGACAGGGTCAAAAGAAAGAACAGAATAAATGCGGTGGGGCAGAACAGGATTAAGGGAAACAGAATTAGTTTTTCACAGCATGTCTACTATGGAAGTGTTTTGCGTAACTGCACATGTATAGCCTACATCGAGTTGCTTGCCTTTTCAATGAGGGTGGGTGGGGAGGGAGGAAGGAGAAAATTTGGAACCCAAAGTTTTAAAAACACATGTTTAAAAAAAAATGTTTTTCACATGCAACCGGGAAAAAAGAAATACAAGATATGGGTTATAGAAATCTATCCTGTCCTACAGGAAAATAGAAGGGGAAGGGGATAAGAGAAGGGGGGAAGAAATAGAAGGGAAGGCAAACTAGGGGAAAGGGGTATTCAGAATGCATGCCATCTTGGGGTGGGGCGAGATGGGGTGAAAATTTGGAACTCAAAATCTTGTGGAAGTAAATGTTGAAAACTAAAAATAAATTAAAACCAAACTAAAAAAGAGAAATTAGGGAAGGCTTCATGGAAGAACTGGGTTTGAAAATGCACTTTGAAAAGGAAAGAGTAAGATTTGGATAGGACAAAGAGAAGGTATTTTAGGGGAAGGAAAACTGAAGACTGAATCCCTCAACTGTTTGATACTCGGTACCCCACCAAAAAGAGATTTCCTGCCAAGCCTCAATGCATGAGGAAGATAATTCCAGGATTCATGCCGGAGGGTTCCTCAGGAAATTCTGCTGAAGGCCTTAGAATTTCAGTTTCTGCCACTAGTTAATTGAGAGTTCTGTCCAATAAGTTAAGTTTGAACTAACTTAAGCATTACTATATTCTTCTTTAGATTGGAACATCCTTGCATAAGGCTGTAAAAAGCTTTAACTATCCTGAAGTACATTTGAGAACTTCTTTCAAGTAGCTGATATATTACTTTATAATGCTTAAAATTGGAAAGGTACATCAAAATATTTGGTTTTTCTCTAAACGAATTTCTGAAGGTGTTCTCAATATGGAACCACCAGTTCAATAGGGCAAGAGTAGTTACTATCACTTTTTACTTTGGATCCTACTGTAAATTTCTTATCTTCCCTGATGAACACTACCTTACTTCATGATAACCAAACCCTTGTTCTCTATGGCAACCTTCCACCCCTGCCCGTTTTTTTCTGATCAATCATGTTTGACTCTTTGTGAACCTACTTGGGGTTTCCTTGTCAAAGATATTGGAGTGGTTTGTCATTTCCTTTTCCAGGTCATTTGACAGATGAGGAAACTGAGGCAAACAGGGTTAAGCCAAGGTCACATGGCTAGTGTCCCAGGCCACATTTGAACTCAGATCTTTCTGATTCTAGACCCCGTGCTTCATCTACTGCACCACCTAGCTGCCCCAAGCATTTAAGAAGTTGGTACTAAATTACTATATACTTTTTTACTCCCTCATGTCATCTCCTTCAATTAAATTATAAGCTTATTCATGTAAGATATCAGGTATATTATGTATTCATTTCTTAAAGTATCAGGCATATTACGTATTCATTCCTTAAGGTATCTAATACATATTAGGTAGTCAATAAATATTTGCTGAAAATCGCATATACAAAGGACCATTATTTTTTGCACACTGCACTAAAATGAAACAAAAGAAAGAATGCATTATATAAGAATATTTCTCTAGAGCAAGGACACCCAAATTTTCAATAGTAATCATAAATCTTGATATTTTGGGGATGCATGAATTGAACTATGTAATTAATTACATTTGTTGTCAATTAAATTACTAAGTGTTCTGAGTCTGCCAGCACAATATCTGACAGCAGTCATTAATACAACAGAAGCAGTTGGATGGGTGGTTAGGTCCTATGCTCCTACATGTTCATATGTGCTAGCTAATCAGTTGGAGAAGAGGTACAATAAAAATTCCTGATGCTAAGAAAAAGCAAAAAAATCATGCAAAGAGATTATCAGAAACAAAATACTGATTTTGGCTACCTGAAATAAGGTTTTTCTGGTGACATGGTAATCTGTAAGACCTCACTGGTCATGTCTAATTCAGCAAATGCTTCACGTAGGCCTTCTGACTGAAGAATAATCTTATTAATAACATTGGTGCTGCAGAAATCAAAATCCAATGTATCTTCAGGCTCTTGGGTATTAATTTTGCACACTGTTACTACTCCTCCTTCTTCCAGGAAGAGTGTCAAAGGGTACCCATAACCTCGGTAACACATCCTAAGTGCGGTTGAAGTTCCTGAAGAGAAATAAATCAATATAAGCACTCTTTGAGTTTACTTTTGTGGTTTTAGGTTCAGTTTCTATGCAGATCACAAATAAAACTCATTAAGTAGTAGTCTTATTTATCTATCTATTAATCATTGTCATATGTATTTTTTTCTTTTTGCTGAGACACTGTGGTGCAGTGAATAGGGCACTGACCTTGGAGGAAGCCAGACCTAGGCTCAACACCTTTGCCTTATACTGGATGTGTGATCCTGGGTGAGTCACTTAACCTCTCAATGTCTCTAAGAATGTCAGCTGCAGAGAAGGTACCAATCTGCAATAGCAGGGGAAGATGCTCACTGAGAGTTCTCTAAACTGATGAAATGAGTTTCTGTTACTAAAATTACTCTAATATTTAGCCCACAAAAAATCAAAAACAACCACCAGAAATAGCAACAATGACAAGAAAAAAATGTATTAAAGATCTCTACATCTATTTTTTGAGATTACTAAATCATTCCCTGACTTCAAACACAAAGAATTTCAGAATGAAATAGCGTACACTGTCTTAAAAGTGCAGGTACCAATACTGTAGTTTGCAGAACAGTTGAAGACTTGGTTCCATTTTATTTGAGTGCACATGCTTTACAAGCATTATATAAGTATTCTGATACAGTAGCACCCAGAGCTCACTGTATGAAATACAGGGAGGTCTTCAAACTTTATTTAGAGGAGAAGCTACTTTTTATCTTCCAGAAGCCTTACAATCACAATTCTACCCAAAAGGTGCTAGAGGTCCTAACACAATCAATCATCGAAGGGGTAATGATGTTGACAGTCTTAGTCACTAATGACATTGTTAATAATGGCTACCTATGAAATGAGAAACCCTTTGAGCCTGAAAATTCCCAAGAACTAATGGAAGTGCACATGATGGGGGACCTTAACTTTGACTAGTTAACCATGACCAACGTATTGGCAAGTCTTATGCTAAATGTTTATTTGTAATAAAATAGAATTTTCATTTAATTATAAAGTTCCATGCCTAACCCAGTCCTACAGGACTGTTGTAATAATAATAATGCTAAGCTGCTATGGAGCTAAAAAATTCACCCTGCCAAGAGTCCCAGGGGCTAAAATAATTCTGAAGTGTTTTTGTGATTTCACATCTACATCAAATGAATTATGACATTTTACATTTTTACCACTTAAAAACTCCAAAAACCTAAATGAAGGTTAATATTTTCAAGTTCAGAGTGCAGGAAAATGTATTAAATTATTACAAGGTTTCTTAAAAGAAAAAAAAACCTACCATAAGCATATTTAAAAATAATGTTAATAAGTACATTATAACAACAATATAGCTAGAATTAAGCTATTCAAATAACTTCCATAAGGTTAAATCTTGGCCATTTTCAAGTTTTTTGGCTATTTCAGTTTTAATTACTGAGTGTTTAATATATTTAAAAAGATTGTAATTACCTCTGCAAATATGAGAAGTCATAAAAACACCTGATATTTTTCAAAAACATTCTAAAATTTTAAAACCCACCATTGACTTCTAAGTAATGAACTCTCAAATTGAAAACTAATTCTAAATATCATTCCTGAATTGATGAATTCTTGACGCCTTCATACTACTATATCATGACAGTAACAATGATATACCTGGCAAAGGAGTTGAACCAAAAATTGTCAAGCAGTCTAGAAGGACTGTCAAATTGATTCGAAATGTTACAGATTCTTCCTGAACAATAAACTCCTGAAATATTCCAGCCTGTAAAAAAAGAAGTCTACAAATATAAATATGGCCATTTACATTAATGAATTATACTACTTTGCATATAGTTCCAAAGAGTTCACCTTCTATGTATTTCAAAGTAGATCAACTTGGCTGTGCCACTTACTACCTAGGAAACTTTCAGCAAGTCACATAACCCCTCTGGGACTCAGTTTCCTCATCTGTAAAATTGGGGGTTGTACTAGACAATTTTTAAACTTACAAACAACTCTGATTCTTCTTAGTTTGCATTTATTAGATTCCTGAATACCAATACCCCAAAACCATCGTACAAATTTAAGTTGTCGGCTGCCAGACAAAAAAGAACTTCTCTCTTCTAGCTTCCTGAAACAAAAATGGCCCAACCAAGCCCCTGGAGGCATCTACTCTCTCTGCAGAGCCCCTAAACACAAAGAAGGTTGCTTAGGCTCTGTTATTTACTACAAGTGACACTCATCTGTAAAAAAAAAAAATGATTCTCTTCTGATTGTCAACATGCCACAAAACCTATCATAAGCAAAATTTCTATAAAACAAAGATACTTATGCTTTACCTAATAACGAGATACTTCAAAAAGTGTTACAATCAACAATACAGGACAGGGAAAGAACTTGGACAATCCTTTCAGTTAATTTTAAATTTCAACCTGTGAATATTATTTAGGATTCCCACAATAGTGGCGCGGGAAGGGATCTAAGAGATCACTTAGTCCAACACCCTCATTTTGTAGATCATAGCTGAGGAGCTAGAAGGGCCCTTGAAGGTCATCAAGTCCAAACCCCTTATTCTGAAGATGAGTAACTAAAGCAGAGAAATAAAATGACTTGCTAATAAGAGGCAGAGCAAGGACTCAAACCTGGGACTTTTGCCTCCCAAGTTTAGTGTTCTTTCCTTAGTACCAATTTAACACACGACCCACTCCCAACACATGCAGAAAGAACAGTGAAATAGCATGCTTGCCTCCATACCTGAATGAATGCATTTGCTTGCAGACATTTTGCATTTTCCACTGTAACCTTGATCCCATTTGTTGTCGCAAAACAGGCTGCATGGTCTCTGAAATGAATAGCTTTTAATATGTTTGAGAGATTCCTTACATTGTCAAGGCTGGCAACTAAAATATATTGATCATTCCCATCTTCATCCTGTGTGGAAAGGGGCATTTTCTGTTTCACATAAGGTTCCTTTCACTGGGTGTTCCTAATTTAAACTGGGATTAACCAGCTGTCTGTCTTGGTAACCTATAAGAAAGATAAATGTTAAATTGAGCTCAGTGACTCCAGAAAAAAATTGCTTTAGTTATATCACCCTTACCCTCCCAATGATTTTTTAAAATGTCAACCAATTTGGGTTTTCTTAGCAAAATGTATTTTTTCCAAGCACAACTGTTTAGATCTCACTCCACCCCCTCCAACTGCAAAAGAAAAAAATGTGTAATGGAAACATTACTAGACTAGAAATCAAGAGGCCTGGACTCAAGTGTGAGTATTGCCATTAAAGTACTTGTGAAGTTGGGAGTCATTTCTCTGAGGATGTTTCCTGAAAAATGCCCTATTTAACTTGCTCCCACTGGGATGTTCTAAGACTAAAATAATGTATATATCACTTCATATTTAAAACATTTTCACATGATCCACAATCATAACTTAGTTTTTTTTGGGGGGGGGAGCCAGACCTGTGAATTCATTAGTTTAAGGAAGTCCTGGTGTGCAAAATCACTCTAGAGATGTAGACAGACAACTAGTCTGTAATTTATAATTGTAGAGGCTGCTTGGAGCACTGAAAAGTTAAGTGACATGCCCATGTTACTTAGCTGATGTGTTTCTAAAGGAGGATTTGGGCCTAGGTCTCCCAGATTTCCAAGCTTAGTCCTCTATCCGCTACTCCAAAGTACCAAATGATAAGTATAAGTTTTACACAAAAGACTAAAAGGGTTCACAGTGGGGAAGTGACTTGTCCCAAAACACACCTCAGTGTCAAAACCAGGATTCTAGGCAAATTCTCCCCACTCCCAGTAAAAGGAACATAGGATTTAGAGCTGGAATGATTCCTAGAGTTCATTTAGTTCAAACACCGTATTTTAGAGATAAAGTAGAGGTATCTAGATTGTGCAGTGTAGATGAAGCATTAGACCTGGAATCAGGAAGACTTTTCTACCCGGATGACCCTGGCACTTAATCTTTGTCTGCTTCAGTTTCGTTAAGTGTATAAAAGGAAGATAAAAACAGCACCTACTTCCCAGGGTTATTATGAGGATCAAATGTGATGTTTGTAAACCGCTTTGCCAGAGTTACAAAGTTTGCACACCAAGGACCTGAATTCAGATCTTGTCTTTTTCCCCTATAATAGCCAGTATTTATTTGGCGCTTCAAATTTTGCAAAGTGCTAGGACTTTGTAAAAGGTAAATAAAGCATTAGACTTTATTTGTCTACACCTTCCACTTGCCTCTCCATCCCAGGCCCAAACCGAGAGAGGAGACAGAACAAACCAACTAGGAAATGCTCACAGCCCCGACTCTCCCAGATCCTAGCTTCTCCCTTCACGGCTCGGCTCAGGTGTCCCCTCTGACGGAAGCTTTTCCGGATCCCTCCCGGTGGTGGGTGCTCCCTCCTCCTCCCTCTTGCATTTACTCAACTATGGTTATTTCTACCTCCGGCTCCTCCGGGGCAAGAGCTGTTTTGTCTTTGCAGCCCCAGCCCCTAGCTCCGCGCCTTACCAGCCCAAATGTTTGTAGGGTAGGAATCAATTCCAGTCCCAAGCGTCCCAGCAGTCTCGGCTCCCCTCGGTTCCTCTGGTCCCAGGGCAGCCTCAGGTGCAACTGTTTTTCCCGCCCCAAAGCTGGAAAGAAGTTCCACTTCCGGCTCCCGATGCAGACAGGAAGTGTCGGAGCTCTGGCTTGGTTTGACTGCGCCTGCCCACACTCCATGACTACACTGTGCGACAGCCGTAAAGTAAAGCCGGGGTTGGGCTGAGCTAGAGAGGAAGCGTCCGCTTCCACCCCGCCCCCTGCCCCATCTTCAAACTCTTTTGGTAGCATAGAGACGGGAAAGAGGAGAGAGGGGCAAGGCGGGAAGGAGCGGAAGGCGGAATGAACAACGTGCAACGTGCGACGGCCGGAAGAAGGGGAATCTGGGCAAGATGGCGGCTGTCAAGAGGAAGCGGCATGGAGAAGGGGGGCCCGAGGCGAAGAAGCCTAAAGGAAAGGGAAAAAAGGCCGGAGCGCCGGCCAAACAGACCCCTCCAGCCCCAAAGAAGGTAGAGGAAGAGGAGGAGTACCGCATCCCGGGCCCCGTCTCCAAGGTAACAGCGACAGCTCAGGGTCTGGCGTGGGAGCGTGGGGCCCCCGCGTGACCCCGACCCGGCATTCTCCCCTCGAGGGGGCGGCGGCCTGTTGATCTTCTATGCGGGGCAGCCGAGGCTTCCTCCGGCCTCCGCAGCCAGGCCGGCCCGCGCACGTGGTTGTCACCGGAGAGCGGAGGCGGAAGGTTGTCTCAGCTCAGGCTACAGAACCTGTCAAGTCAACCAGCACTTAGTAAGCGCCTGCTGTGTGCCAGGCGCTGTGCTGAGCGATGGGGATGGAAAAACATGTTTGGTTTTTTCTAGGAGCTCTGTCTTAGCGGGAGACAACATACAAACAACTATATGCAGACAAGGTACAGACAACTAGATTGGGGACAGTCTGAGTGAAGGCACTGAGATTAGGGGAGGGGGCGTTGGAAGGGCTTCTTGAAGAAGGTGGGACTTTGGTTGTGACTTGAGGGGAGCTGGAAGGTATGCTGAGCATCCCTCCCCCCTTTTGTCCATCCTCAAACGGGAGTTTTAATATTCTCCTGCTCCAAGGCTAGTTCTTGCTATTGCTTTTTCCCCACTGTGATTAATAACAATAAAGATAACTTTACAAACAGCTCACTTTATTGTCACAGCAGTCCTGGGAAGTAGGTGCTGTTATTATCCCCATTTTGCAGTTGAAGAAACTGGGGCAAAAGAAGGTGAAGGGACTGGTCCTTCAGCTAGTGTCTGAGGCAGGATTTGAACTCGGGTCCTCGTGGCTCTTAGGTCCAGTGCTCTCTATTCCCTGCTCTGGTGGGTTATAGGCAAAGAAATCTTTTTTTTTTTTAAGTATTTCTCCTGCTGGATCTTACCTTATCTGAACCATTTCTAAAGTTCTAGCTTGATCTAGGTTCTATGAGAAATTACAAAATTAAGTTAAGATTTCTATTGTGGTTCTTCACTCAGCAAACATTTATCAAGTACCTCCTACGTCCTAGATGTTGCACTGGGTGTTAAGGATAAAAAGGCAAAAAAATCATTCCAAGATTTACAATCTCTTAGGATGAAAGAGGAACTGTCATCTAGGGGAGTCAGGAGAGGTCTCTTGTGGCACTTGAATTGAACCTTGAAGGGAACTAGATGCTTCCAGGTTTTGTGGAAAGGAGAGAGCATTTCAGATGGAGATAGACTGCAATGGTTCTGGGATGAGAGGTGCAATGCCTTGTATGGGAAACGGAAGTATGCCAATTTGATTGGAACTTTAGAGTGGTGAGGAATGTAATTGGCCTGGAAAGATAGAATGGAGCTAGTTTGTAACTCATTTGGGTGAATGTAACTATATAAATAGTCAAATTAAATGTAATAGGAGTACAGAGGAAGAAGGGAGTTGATTCTCTTGGAGGATAAGAGGAAGCATCAGAGAGAAGAGGAGGATTAGGGTGCATTTAAATTGGCCTTGAAATGGTGGTTAGGATTTCTCTAAATGAAGAGCAACATTTCAGGTGGAGAAGATGATATGAGCAAATGTGTGAAAGTGGCAAAAGTGCCATATATATATATATATATATATTTTGGGGGGAAATAGAGTTCAGATTGGAAAGAGTGAGTGGTTCACGGTGGAGAGTTGACTTAGGAAACGTAGGGTGGAGCTAGATTGTCAGGAGTTAAGAGGCTTTTACTTGGTAAACTATGAAGACCAAGGGAGTGATGGGGTCAGAGAAGTACCAGGGGAAAATTAATCTGGCATTAAGGAGTGTTGAGGATATACTGAAGAGCCAGGAGTCTAGAAGCAGTATGAACAGTGAGGAGATTATTGATGTAATCTGGGTGTTGGCACTGAGAATAAAAAGGAAGATATGGAGATAAAGGAAAAAGTGAACAATTTGAATATGAGGGCCTACAGAATAAAGGAGTAAAAGATTCCTAAGGTTTTTGTGCCAGAAACTTATGGTAACATTAACCAAATGAAGCTAAGAAGAGAAATTAATTTGAGAGAGGGGAAATGAGGTGCATTAATTTGAGGTGTAGCAGGTGGAAATATGAGAAGTTTGAGAAGTTGGAGATTTTAGTTATCAATCTACAAGCATTTATTAAGCTCCTGTTGTTCTGTTCTATTCACTATTCTAGGCATTGGGTACGAGGACAAAATAGTACTTGCCATCAAGAAGCTCATATTGTATTCAGGAAGACTGTGTATGTACAAAATAGATAGATATCAGGGAGGAGAACTAGCAGCTGGAGAGATCAGGGGAGACAATGTGGGAAGTGGACTTGGGTTGAATTTTGTAGGCAACAAGCCATCAAGAAGGTGTTGGACTTAATGACTTCTAAGGTCTCTTCCAGCTCTAAATCTATGATTCCAGGAGGACATAAGAAGGTATTTAGAACAGCCATTGCAAAGTCACTGAGTTGAGAAGTGGAGTGTTGGCCTCCCTCCATCAGCGTGGTTGTGCCATACTGCATATCTCCATTCTGCAGTGTATGAACAGGAGTGGAAGGAAGTGGCAGATAATAGAAATAATCCATGGTTAGGTTTGTTAAGCCATGAGTATTGATAGGGTCAGGGGCCAAGGGACAGTGTAAAACTGATCTAGCTAACTATAAAGTTCAGATTGGGGAACCAAACAGAAAGTAAGAGTCAAATAGCCTGAGAAAGTATTGAGAGGGGTTTAGCAGAGGTAAGGGAAAGATGAAATTAGAAGAGGTTAATCTGATAAAGAGATTTTGGAGTTTTTGATTCTGAATGGTGGTAGTTGAAACTGGGCTTGAAAGAATATCTTTCAAGTCTTCTATCACCAACTGGCTATAGGACATCTCCAAGTGAATGGCCTGTAGACATTTCAAATATAAAACAACTCATCTTTCTCTGCAAATCTGTTCCTCTTCCTAATTTAACCTGTTTCTTTTTAGGGTACTGCTTCTGGTCTTTCAGGTATGCATCCTTAATGTCCTCTTCATTTTTTCTCTTACCTCTCATGTAAGTCATTTGCCAAGTCCTGCTGATCTGTGTCTACAATATTTCTTGTAGCCATCCCCTCTCTCCCCTTACATGGCTGCCACCCTAGTTGAGATATTCCTTACTTCTGTCTTGGCCTATTGCAGTAGTGCCCAAATTGATCTCCCAGTCTATCCCATCTTCAATCCATTGTCTACATAAACGCTGAATTGTTATCCTGAAAATATAGGTCTGACTTTGTTACTCTTCTGCTCAAAAAGCTCCAGTGGCTGCTTCTTACTACCTCTAGGATAAAGTAGAAACCCCTCTCTTTGACTTTTAAAGCTCTTTACAGTCTGGCTCCACATTTCAGCCAAACTGGCATACTCTGTTGTTGCTTATGTTTGAAGCCCTTCCCCACCTGGCTTTAGCCAAGCTTTGCAGGCTTATTATACATTATTCCCCTTCATGTCCTCTGTGTTTAGCCAGCCATATTCCACCTTGTGCCTCAGACCTTTCCCAGATCATCTTCCATGGGTGGATGCTCTCCCATCTCACCCTCAAAGCTTATCTCAAGTGCTTCCTGTCCTAGAAGCCCATCCAATCTTCTGAGTCTATAGTGCTCCCCTCAGTAATTAATTGATACCTCCTTTGTATTCATATTGTATTCACTTTTCTGTCCACATAATTATTGTATGTCTCAGTACAGAACGTAAGCACTATGCAGCTGTTGGAGAGGAGGAGTTGTCTTGTGTTTATCTTCATGTCCCTCCACCTGGCATAGTACATGATATAGAATAGGTGCTGTTTTTTGAATGAATGAAAAAGGAAGAGGGCTTGGAATAAACTGGGAAGGTCCATTTTTGATGAATGAAAAAATGAAGAGTAAGTGAAGTAGACGTAACAGGAATACGAAAATGATGTTGTGCCACAAAAGCCAAGAAAAGAGAAAAGGAAAAGAGTAAAGAGGGTGAGGGCTGAAACAGACTGTGCGGTAATTGATAACCTGTGTATGTATCCTGATCGTTTATCCACTCACATTACAGATAGTTCTATGTTATCGGGTGGTGCCATTTTTTTTTTTAATTTCAAGCATTTGAAGCCTTTTGTGTGCAGAGAATTGTTAGCAGCTGAATGAGATAAAAAGTTTAAAATGTTGTCTCTGCTCTCAGGAGAAGCGAATAAGCTTCGAGGGATCATTGCACAGGCACTTACATGTTACATTTATTTTTCTAATAAAAGTACAGAGTGCTTGACTAGTTTTGAGGGAAGGGTATGGTTACTGTTCACAGAAAGACCAGGAAGACTGCCTGGAAGGTAGTTGCTTTTGAGGTAATTTTTTGTGGTAGTTAGAAAAAAATTTTATCTTTCCATCTCTTTTAGGCTGTTCTTGGGGTTTTATGAAATAAAGTACTCTAATCTACTTGTTATAGAGGGATCAACAAAAGAGCATTTTTCCTTTATCATCTCTTTAGAATATGCTTCCAATTTAACAAATAGAAAATTCACACATACTTGACTGATAACTCAAGTATTTGAGGAGTTCTAACACAGTTTGAAATTCATTTCCCCTTATTCATTTTTATTCCTTCTATTGTTTCGCATGCTTGGCTATCCCAGCCCCTTAGAAGAATGTTAGCCTCTTGGAGGCAGGGCCTTTTTTCATTTT